AACCTGCCGGAGGCACCCCAGATCCAGCACCCAGCCGTGCAGTTGATCAGCACCTCCTTAAGATATGCTATTCCATTACACAAGCATGGGGTCGCGCTGAGTGCCTCAGCCGGGGTGGGCCCAGAGCTCCAGAGCTCCAGAGCTCCAAAGGGCAGGCAGTGAGCAGCGAGAGTGGCCCTGGGCCCCTCACAGGGGACTTCAGCCAGAAATAGTGGAGCAGCAGCAGCCGGTGGCTGCAATATCCGGCCCTGCGTGGGACCGAAGGTCCCTGGGCCTCGGTCCAGTGTGGCTGGTGGTGGGCAGGGGGGTCGGGGAAGAAAAGTAAGAATCTTTTTGGGAACTCACGTTCAGAGAATCTCACAAGTCCACCTATGCCATCGCCATCTTACCGGAACTCCTCTTTTGAAATTCTTTAAATTGTACTATTTCTAAATCATTTTCAAAGATAGCTTATTTACGTTTGCCTTAGTTCTTTTGACTAACGAGCAGAGTTTTTGCAACTTTTAAAGCATTTCCTGGGAATAACAGACTGGAAACCAGTCTCTTCAGTTAAAAATAATTTTATCAAGTTTCTTGTTTGTTTTGGAGTAACTTGATTAAAAAGGACGTAATGTGGTTTGGTCAATATAATTTTGTCAAGGAACTATTAATGCCAAATGCAAAATTGAAGAAGACATGGTCCTTGCCCTTGGTCTAGTCAGAAAGATAAATAGGTGAACTGAAAATTACATTGTAATCTGATAAATGCTGTAACAGAGGAACATAATGTTCTATCCTTGCTGGGGGAAGTACGGAAGGGAGGTGATATTTTAGGGATGTTTTGGAAGTTAGTAGGTGTTTGCCAAGGTGATGAGGGAGCACTTCATTTGAGGAAACATGAATAAAATTCTGGAGCCTTTCAAGGGCTTGACAGTTGGGGAAACAGTGAATATAGTTAGCTATGACTAAGAGTAGGGTACGTGTAGGGAGGCGGTGTGAGAAAAGGGAGGGTTTGTTTACTTGGTGGAGCATCAGTAAGATATGAATTTGCAACAATAAGTTGGTCCTACATTATGAAGGGCCAAGTATGCCCTATTGAAAAATTTAGATTTCTTGTGTATGCTGTGAAGAGATGCAGCCAAGAGACACTTAGTTTTGGATACAAAATCCTGTAGGATAGATTGGAAAAGAGAGAAATTGGTTCATTTACTCATCCAATAAACATTTATTGAGCACCTTTCACTTTGTGAAAAACTAGGTCCTTGGCATGCAACAAGTGGAAAAGACAGAGATGTCTGCCCTATTGGAGCTTACCACTTACAGTGTAACAAGATAAATAATATTCCAATAGACATAGTAGATAAATTAATCATAAAGTACAAGAGGTAATAAATATTAAGAAAGAAGAAAAAATAGAATAAAGGAGTTTGGGAGTGCAGGTGGAAGGCAGTTGCAATTTAAGTAAGATGGCAAGATGTCCAGTTCAGAAACTATTGCAGTAATCCAAATGAGAAGTGATGAGGACTTACGCTTAATGGGGGACTTTAAAATAGTGAGAAAGAAGAGGTTGGGGGATGTATATTTTTTCTGTTTTAAACCTTTTCATTGTTTCATAAACATGTACATTTATATTCACATTATAGATATAAATCTATAATGTATTGTTATAAGGTGAAGAACTTTGTAACAATCACACCATAAGCCCCTCCAATAGCCCCATGCTAATCACAAACCACTCCCTCCCTGACAACATGTTCTTTATGGTAATCACTTTTCTGCAGTGATTTCTTGATAATTTTTTAACCAAATGTATATCCCTAGACACTATAGCTTAGTCTTGCCAATTAATTTTCTTTGATATGTCTATTAAGTCTTTTTTAAAAACTGCATGTTTTCTTCCCTTCCTTTTTTTTTTTTCTTATAAATTACCAGCTAAACAACTAGGCCTTTTGACCTTTGAATTTCCTATAGTCTGGAGATTTTTCTGATTGCAAATTCATGGTATAGCTCAACATGTTTCTCTGTTCTTTGTATGTCTTATAAATTGACAGCTGGACCCAGAGGCTTCATCAGACTTTAGCATGACAAAAGTCAGTAAAGCGTTTTTTTCACTGAAAACCACATAATGTTTTGTTGTCTCTTTTGCGACATTAGTGGCTATTTCTGTTTAATGCCTAGGATTGGTAATTCATTTGGGGCTTGCAAAGTGTGATATTCTAATTGTATCACATCTGTTTTGGTTATTAACTAGAATACTTTTGTAAAGAGACATTTCCCCTCATTTACTGTTTGGTTATTCAGTGGTATGGTTCCAATAGGAAAGGCAGGATAAATGCCTTTTTTCTTTATTTCCAATTGTTCAAGGTAATGAGTTAGTTTCCTATTATCCTCATTTTTGATTACTCTATCAACATCTCCTGACTCTGCCTGGAAAGGGAGCCCTGATTATTCAGTTTTAAGAATTTATAGTTGCCAGACTGCTCTTCAGACCTTACCTGCTATATTGGATTAAGCAAAACTCCTCCCACTTTTAGTCCTGATCTAAAATTGGCTCATTATATTTACAAGTATATATTTGTTGACTGTTTTGGGGTTTCTTATTTTACACATCAGACAGCCCATTGCTTTCCTCTGCTTCTTTCTGTGCAGATGCTAGTATCGTACAGGACTTCAGCTATCCCCCAGCTGCTTGTATTTGTGGAGGATAGCTTATCATCTAGTTTTGTTATCAATATTTTCCATGGAATTTTGGTTTTGTTGTCTAGTTGCTTCATCTGTTTTGATGTGGAAAGCAGGGAAATTTGAAACAAAACAAAACAAAACACATACCTCACTACTACCAATACCATCTTCTTTGAAAGAAGTTGAGTCATGGAAGTGTTAGAGTGGAATTGAGAATAACTTTGAAGTTTCTGACTTGGAAGATCTGGTGGATGGTAATTTCACTGATGGATATTTTATTAAAAAAAAAAAGAGAAGGAGTAAGGTAGTGAGTGGAAAATAAGATTAATTTTTTGTTTCTTAGGTTTGAATTGTTTATAAGATACTCTAAAAGAAATGCCTTCTTAAGAAATCTACTGCTAGAATTTGATAGAGAGAACTAGTTGATGAAATATAAACACTTTGACAGTAATTAAAACCATTACAAGTATGAAAAATTATTATTTTTGGGAAAAATTGAAGTATGAAAAACCAGTAGAATAGAAAGCACGCACTTGAAGATAAGGTACTAATAATAAGCATTATGAACTAGTACTTTTATGTTTTTTTCCATAAATATATACAGCAAAGCCATATTACATTGAGCAGCAACTCAGAGAGGAAAATACTATACAAAGATCCACTTAACATGGATGCAGCTGGTTTTTTGGTCATTATGTATAGATGCCATATATGTTGGATATGCTATTATGGGAATGAACTATAAAATCGAAGTTTTTTCTCCCCCTACTTGATTCCCTGCATAAAGATGTTATGATTACTAATAATCTGCAAGTTTTTGTGTTTTGAGTAGACTTTATGTACTGTGACAGATTCTCTATTTTAAGAGTAGGTGAGGCCAGACTCGGTGGCTCAGCCTGTAATCCCAGCACTTTGGAAGGCCGAGGCGAGTGGATTGCCTGAGTCCGTGGGTTCGAGACCCACCTGGGCAACTTGGCGAGACCTCATTTCTACAATAAAACAAAAATTAACTGGGCATGGTAGCGTGCATCTGTAGTTCCGGCTACTTAGAAGGCTGACAGAAGGCTCGCAAGAGCCCAGCAGGTCGAGACTGCAGTGGGCAGGAGCGTGCCACTGCACTCCACTGCACTCCAGTCTGGACTCCACCTCAAAAAAAAAAAAAAAAAAAAAGAAGAATAGGTGAGAAAGCCATCACTCTTCTAAGCTACTATATAGTTCTGAGCTCTATCTTCAAAGAGGATTTTTCCAATAGTATATACATTTCAATGCTACGTTTTAAACATTTCATTTTATTAGATATCAGCCCAAATAATTTACTTTTGACCTATTTTTTCCTTTCTTCTTCTTTTTTATAAAATCAGGCCAGTCTTCAGAGACCTGAGATTAAACTGGAATCTCTAAAAGAAGATATTAAGGAATTCTTTAAAATATCAGGTTTGTAATTTTTTGCTTAATTGTTTCAGACAAAAATAAGGAAATGTTTTTTACTTATTCCTAATTATTTAAGGCACAGTAAATAATACTTTATCCTCAGCCTTTTAATTGCTCCTTCAAAATTGTGAAAAGTGTGGCTGAATAGGTTTCTATTTGAGGAGAATGAGAACTATGAGATACTTTAATAAGAGGTGAAAAAATTCAGGAACACTATGAGAATAACTACTTTGCATTAATGCTTGGCATTAATCAGTTTTAAATACAATTTTATTGAGATAAATTTAATTATGCATGCTTATTTAAAAAACTAATGTTTGTATATTTTATTCTTTTTTCCCCAACAGGTTGGGAGAAGAAACTTCAGAATGCTGTGTATAGTGAACTGAGTGTGTGAGTTTTCCTACGTATTTTGAAATCGTTTTTTTTTTTTTTTGCTTTATTTACTTTGTGAGTAATAAAATCAATATTGCTTTGTATACCCATTGTATTATTTCTCATTAGTATTTATATCATATTTCAAGTAACAATTAAAAATTACTCCAGTTTTACCTGACAATTAATAATGAATAGATGGATTTTATTTACCATCCAATATTTTATATTAACAATTCATTCATCCAGTGTAATTAGGAAATAAGATATTTCTCTTAAGTTAATATTTCAGATAAATGAAGCTTGCTAACATTATTTAATTGTTACTGCTTTGGATAGGACACTTATTTATGTCTTTATAAACTGACCATTTCAAAAATAATTATCTCTTTCTTTTGCAAAATTTGTGTTGTTACTAAGAACATCAATGTTTTTGTTTATTTATATTTAACATCAGGGTCTGTTAAGGTGTGTAGAACTGTTGTCAGTCTATAGATCCAGAATGTTAGCTTTTGTAGTTTGTTCAACATTATTCAATTATTTGTTGAATACCTACCATGTTGCAGCACTATGCTAGGCACTAGGGATATAGTATAGAACAATAAACACAACTCTTGCTCTCATGGAGTTCATAATGGAGTTGTATGTCTGCTATTTTTTTTTCTTGCTGCTATCACTGTCTGTGTCTCTAGCATTCTCTAGTGTTTAACACTCCCATTTTCAGCTTGACTTTTTAAATCTGTTAACTGGGAAATGGGATAACCCGACTTAGAATTGTTTCTAAAATAAAGAGACTCAGATGAAAGCTTGTGGACATGTGCTTTAGGTACACTTTTAAAAAAATTAGTATTTGCTTCTTTTCTTATCACAATTTTCCCATTTAGTTTTGAATTCTATTTTATTTTACTTATTGCATTTCATTTTTTGAGTTGGAGTGTCTGTTACCCAGACTGGAGTGCAGTGGCACGCTCACGGCCACTGCAGCCCCGACCTGCTAGGCTAAGGCTACATTCCACTTCAGCCCTCCAAGTAGCTGGAATCACAGGTATGCACCACCATCCCTACTCATTTTTTGAATTATTGTCTCACCAAGTTGCCCAGGCTGGTCTCGAATCCCTGGGCTCAGCAGTCCTCTTGCCTCTGCCTCCCAAAGAGCTAGAATTATCGGCATAAGCCACTGTACCCAGCTTAGTTTTGAATTTTAAATGACATCAGATATAAGTGCTGTCTAATCATTGAGGTTGACTGTGACTAGACCTTTGGTAGTACTAGTCACCAAAGGAATGGATATATTTCTCTCTCTTTTTTAATTGAACAAAGCTATTTATTGCAACTCCAAAAATCATGAGCTATAGAATATTATGTATGAATATTATAAAATAAGTGAAAGATCTGTATGTTGAAAACTATAAAACACTGGTGAGGGAAAATCACTTTTTTTCTTTTATTTTAAAAATGTGGGGTACAATTCAGGGTTAGGTATATAAATGTTCATTATTCAGGTACCCTTGTTGATGAGGTGTGCCCTTCCCTCTCCTGGCAGTTTCCGACTACTGCCTAATCCTTTCTTATAGTATTATGATAATTGTTCAAGGTCTGCTGATGAGTGAGAACATGTGGTACTCTGTTCTTTGTTTCTGTGAGAGATCACTGAGTATGATGGACTCTAAATCCATCCAAGTTGCGACGAAGTCCATATGTTTGTCCTTCTTTATGGTTGCGTAATATTCCATTGTGTATATGTAACACATTTTTTTTAGACATTTTTCATGACGAATAATACTTACTTTAAATAAATATTTTCTGGATAACTACTTGGGCCTTTTGAAGGAGTTTGGTAATACTACCTTTCTTCTCACTTGGGTGCTGAACAAATTAAGGGATAAGATAAAACAGAAAGGTAGGCAGGAAATCAAAATTACATTTTGTTACTGATTAAACTAAGTTGAAGGACACAGCTTAGCGTGAGAGCAAAATGAGTCCCTTAACTCCAGAATTAAGTAGGATTAACCTTTCATACAGATAGCATTGGATCACGGTGAACATGTTCAGTTTATTCTTCTCAAATATAGGAGTTGGATTAGATATTATACTTCTTCTGTGGTATTAAGCCTCGGACAGAGGCCAAGGATGTTACAGTAATGGAGCTCCTTTCACATTGAAGGGCACATTGGGAATGGAAAAGTATTTCCCCTAATTTAAGTCAGAAGAATAAAGTGGACTTAGTATATTCTGTTGCATTTTTCATTGGCAGCAACCATTAGATGAGTAAAGAAAGCAAAAAGTAAAGTAGGGCTATTCATTAAATAACATCAAATAATTGGAGGTAAAAAATACATACTTGCATGCCTAATAGAGGTATGGCTTCATGAGCAATACAGACCGTACCTGATAACAGCACACTTCATTTTACCTGTTTTAGTAAGCATTTAGTCAGATTCTTATTTAACACAAATATCCAAACATTTTCTGTATTCTGTTATTTATATGAAATTTGTAACTCTAGCCTAGGTTGGCTGTTTCCACTTCAGATTGTGTACTTTCCATTCATTTTACAATGTTATGTATTTATTATTGTGTTAATGACTATTCAATGTTGTATTAATAATATTATATTAATGATAATTTACATTGATTGAATGCTTATTTTGTGGCAGGTCCTGTGGTAAGCACAAGGTTTATTGAATGTAATTTTCATAACAACCCTAGGAAGTAGAATTTATTATGATCGCCATTTTATAGAAGAGAAAACTGAGCCTCAGATCATCTGTTTCATGCTGCTATAACAGAATACCCAAGATTGGGCAATTTATAATGAGCAGAAATTTATTAGCTCACAGTTCGGGTTTCTGGGAAGTCCAATATCAAGGTGTCTGCATCTGGTGAGAGCCTTCTTTCTGTGTTGTCACATGGCGGAAGGTGAGATGGCAAGAGGGCATCAGGGACTTGAACTCACCCTTTGGCAACAGCACCAACCCCACCCATGTGGGTGTAGCCCTCATGGCCTAATCACCTCTGAAAAACCCTACCTCTTAATACTGTTACAATGGCAACTAAATTTCAACATGAGTTCTGGAGGGGACAAATATTTCAAGCCATGGCAGACCACTTTAGTAACTTGCTGAAGATCATGTAGCTTAGTAAGTGACAGGGCCAGGACTTGATCTCCAGCTGTCTGATTCCAAAGTCCATGCATTTTTCTGCATTTCACATATGTCTATATCTTTTGACTGGATTAAAAATGTTCTGGAACAAAAAAATGTGTCTGATATTTCTTTTAGTGTCTCCTATAGCATCAAAAAAATGACCCTGAGTCAGAAAACAGTTAATGAGCCACCTAAAATACTAACACATGATAAATTGATGAAACTCAGTGCAATGATTAATCCTAATCTCCCTATGAAGATTTAACTAAGACAATCTTTAAATACAGAATGAAAATGCACCAATTTCTTTCTGCGTCTTAGTCTTCATTGTACTTCATATAGAGCAGTTTATAAAGAAGTAGATGACCTATTTTTCCCCTAAGAAATATAAAGAATAAACCTTTTTTAAAAATGTTATTTTATCTGTGCATGTTATAAAAACATATACTGCCAGGTACAGTGGCTTATGCCTGTAATCCAAGCACTTTGAGAGGCCGAGGTGAGAGGAAGATCAGTTTTTAGTTCTTTTAGAAATTCCCACACTACTTTCCATAGAGGTTGAACTAGCTTACATTCCCACCAACAGTGTGGAAGCATTTCTTTTTCTCTGCTGTCACACCGGTACCTCTTGTTTTTTGACATATTAATGATAGCCATTCTTACCAGAGTTAGGTGGCATCTCATGGTAATTTTGATTTGCATTTCTCTGATGATTAGTGAGGCTGAGCATTTTTTCATGTGTCTGTTGGCAGCTTGTATGTTATCTTTTGAGAGGTGTCTATTAATGTCTTTTGCCTACTTTTTAATGTGGTTGTTTATGTTTCTTCCTTCCACGTCATTTGAGTTCCTTGTAGATCTTGGATGTTAGGTCTTTGCAGATGCATAATTTGCAAATATTTTTTTCCCATTCTGTGGATTTCCTTTTTACTCTTAATGGTTTCTTTTGCTGTGCAAAAGCTTTTCAGTTTGATGAGGTCCCACTTGTCTATCTTGGCTTTTGTAGCATTCACTTTTGGGGACTTGGTCATGAATTTATTGCCCACCCCGAAGTCCCAAAGAGTGTTTCCTACGTTTTCTTCTAGGATTCTTATAGTTTGAGGTTTTACATTTAGGTCCTTGATCCATTTTGAGTTGATTTTTGTATAAGATGAAAGGCAGGGGCCTAGTTTCATTCTTCTGCCTGTGGTTAGCCAGTTTTCCTAGCACTATTTGCTAAATATGATCTCTTTTCCCCAGTGATTGTTATTGGTGGCTTTGTCAAAGATGAGTTGGTTGAGAGACCATGTTTTTACTTCTGGAATCTCTGTCCTGTTCCATTGGTCTATGTGCCATCCCTATACCAATACCATGCCGTCTTGGTTAATGTAGCTTTGTAGTAAAGTTTAAAATCTGGAAGTGTGATACCGCCTGCTTTGTTACTTTTGCTAAGGATTGTTTTGGCTATTCATGTTCCTTTTTGTTTCCATACAATTTTCTGTATTGTCAATTCCAGATCTGTCAGGTTGGTAATTTAATGGATATTACATTGAATCTGTAGATTTCCTTGGGAAAGATGGACATCTTAACAATATTGATTCTTCAATATATGAACATGGGATGCTTTTCCAATTATTTGTGTCATCCTTGATTCATTTGAGCGGCATTTTGTAGTTTTCATTGTAGAGATTTTTCATTTCTCCAGTTAGGTGGATACCAAAGTATTTCATTTTGTTTGTGTGTGTATGGCTCTTGTGAATGGAATTGCACTTTTTATTTTGTTCTTCTCCCTCTTGTAGCTGGTGTATAGTAATGCAACTCTCCTTTGCATGTTGATTTTGTAATTTGAGACTTTACCAGAGTTGTTTATCTGTGTGAAGAGGCTTTTGACAGACTCCCTAGGATTTTCTAGGTATAGAATCATATCATCTGCAAAGAGGGATACCATTTTTCTTTTCCTGTTTGGACACCCCTGATTTTCTTCTCTTGCCTTATTGCTTTGGCTAGGAGTTTCAACACTATGTTGAATAGAAGCGTTGAGAGTGGGCAGACTTGTCTTGTTCCATTTCTTAGGGGAAATGCTTCTAGCTTCTGCCCATTGAGCAGAATGTTGGCTGCAGATTTTTCATAGATAGCTCTTGTTTTGAGGGATGTTCCTTTTATGCCTAGGTGTTTGAGGGTTTTTATCAAGAAGGGATGTTGAATTTTGTTGAATGCTTTTTCTGCAGCTAATGAGATAATCATGTGGTTCTTGGTTTTACATCTGTTAATGTGCTAAATTATATTTATGGTCTTGTGAATGCTGAACTAGCCCTGTGTCCTAGGAATGAAGCCCACCTGGTCATGGTGGATAATCCTTGAGATGTACTATTGGATCCTATTTTCTAGAATCTAGTTGAGAATTTTTGTGTCCGTGTTCATCAAGGTGATTGGCCTGTAATTCTCTTTCCTTGTTGGATCTTTGCCAGGTTTGGGTATCAGTATGATGTTAGCTTCATAATGTGAGTTAGGGAGAATTCCATCAATCTCAATTGCCTGGAATACTTTCAGTAAGATTGGTATTAGTCTAGAGTTTTTTTGTTTATTGATTTGTTTTTGACGGTGATGGGGGGTGGTTCTTATGACTGAGTTGATTTCCTGGATTGTTATTGGTCTGTTTAGAGTTTTAATTTCTTCTTGTTTTAGTTTTGCTGATAAGTAGAACATATCTGTAGCTGTTGGGTGGAGTTTTCTGTAAATGTCTATTAAATCTATGTGATTGAGTGCTGAGTTAAGGTTCCAGATCTCCTTACTAGTTTTCTGACTTGATGATCTGTCTAGGGCTGTTAGTGGGGTATTGAAGTCTTCAACCATAATTGTGTGAGTGTCAGTATCCTCTCTTAGTTTACTTAGTAGGTGTTTTATAAAACCTAGTCCTTCTGTTTGTGTGCATAAATGTTTAAAATGGATATTTCTTGCTTATGGATTGAGCCTTTGGTCATTATGTAGTATCCTTCCCTGTCCTTTTTAACTTTTGATGTTTGAAGTCTGCTCTGTCTGAGCTACTTCTGCTCTTTTCTGCGTTCCATGTGCCTGAAAAGTCATTTTCTATCCTTTAACTTTGAGCCTGTGGGTGTTTTTTGCAATGAAATGAGTTTCCTGAAGGCAGCAGAATGTTGGATCATGCTTCTTTATTCAATTTGCAACTCTGTGCCTCTTCATTGATACATTCAGTCCATTCATGTTCAAATTAATTATTGAAATGTTGTAGGATTTTTAAGGAAGTTTCTTTGCTTCCTTTTTACTCTTGTTTTTATATGTGTGTATTTTTATTTGTGTGAATGATCTGTATGCTCTGTTAACTCTGTGCTTGCCTGTACTTGATGGGTATGATCATTATTTTGTTTATGTGTTTAACAGCCTCTTAATCATCTCCTTAAGGGTTGGTCTGGAAGTGGCATACTCCCTTGGGGACTGTCCAGGCATGAGTTTGTTCCCTGTTCCACTTGGGCTCTGATTGCCTGCCTCTGTGCCCTTACCAGGATTCCTGCCACGTGGGACCAATAATTTTCACATGGCTGGAAATGAAAGGATTTTAATTTTCTGTCACTGATGAAGCTTAGCTTGATGGGGTAGGAAATTCTTGGCTGCAACTGCTTATATTTGAGAATGTTAAAAATAGGACTCCAGTCACTTCTGGCTTATACTATTTCTGCAGATAAATCTGGAGCAATTCTGATGGGTTTTCTTTGGTAGGTAGTCTGACCTTTCTCTATTTCTGCCTTTAGGATTTTTTTTCCTTCATGCTTACTTTGTGGGGGCAAATTACTATGTGTCTTGGGGATGGTATTTCTCATGTGACACCTTGCAGGGATTCTCTGAATCTCTTGCACTTGAATGAGATGTGGGAAGTTTTTTTGGGATGACCTCATGGAATGCTTGCTCTATGATGCTCTCAATTTCCCCTTTTGTTTCAGGGATACCAGTTAGGCATAGATTTGGCTTCTTTTTTTTTTTTTTTTGAGTTGGAGTCTCACTCTGTTGCCCAGACTGGAGTGCAGTGGCCGCTCCTGTCCACCACAACCTCACCTGCTGGGCTCTGGCGATCCTTCCGCCTCAGCCTTCCAAATAGCTGGAATTACAGGCGTGTGCTACCACGCCCGGCTGATTTTTTGATTTATTGTAGAGATGAGGTCCCGCTGCTCAGGCGGGTCTCGAACCCGCGGGCTCAGGCAATCTACTCACCTCAGCCTCCCAAAGGCGCGGGAGTACAGGCTGAGCCACCGAGCCCGGCTTAGATTTGGCTTCTTATCAGAGTTCCACACCTCTTAAAGGCTTTGTTCATTCTTTTTTAGCCTTTTTTCTATGTTTTTGACAGACTAGGTTAGTTCCATATTTTGGTCTTCAAACTCTGATATTCTTTCTTCTGCTTGACTGGTCCTGCTCCCTATGCTTGTTATTGTGTTTTTAAATTCCAGAATGAAGTTCTTCATTTCCAGTATGTCAGAATGGGCCTTTCTTAAATTGGCCAACTCTGCCTTTACTTCCTGTATGACTTTGGTGAGTTTTACTTCTCGTTTCTTGTGGTCCTCTTTATTCATTTTAGTCATCCAGTCTCTGTGACTGTCATCTAGGGTAGGTTGTTCTGTGGAGCTTCCGTTGTTTGTGCACTGATAGCTGCTATTTAAGGAGCTATTTCTTTAAGACTCTTAGGATTCCCTGTGTTTCTTCATTGATTCTTCCTCATTTGTGAAAGGTAACTCTTCCCTTTCTGTCTTTCTTTTTTTGTTTTGTTGTTTTGAAGCTAGTGAATGTCTTTCTGTTCTAGGGCGTTTCTTTCATTTAATATAGATCACTCAGTGAGAGAGAGGTGTATTCACTTCGGCTCCATAATCCACTCTGAAAAAGGCTATTCTGCTGCAGTGTTTTTCCCACATTTAGTCCAGTGGGACTGGTTTTCAGCCCCCATTTCAAGTACTCTACGGGGAACAGGTAGGGGATGAGTCCCTGTTTGTTCTTTGAGGTTTGCAGCCCATAAACCTTCCCACCGTGAGAAACTTTGGGTGTCTTTCATGTTACTTCCTTTCCATTCAAGTCTGCACTAAGCACTTGAAAGAGAGTGAGTTCCCTGGCACAGGGGCATCCTCCCTCATGGTGTATGGGACTGCCAGGAGCTCCTTCCTGATCTGGGGATGGAGAGTTGGCTGCAAGATGCTGGTGGCAGGTGTCAGCTGAGTGTAATCTGTAGGTGAGCATTCCTGATCTGGGAGCTGGCCGTCAGGTAGAAGGCACACTTGGGGGCTGTCCAGGCATGGGTTTGCTCCCCATTCCACTTGGGCTCTGATTGCCTGCCTCTGTGCCCTTACCAGGATTCCCGCCATGTGGGAACCAACAACTTGCACATGGCTGGAATGGGAAGAAATGACCCAGAGCCTGTCAGGATCACTCACCCCCTCTTTTATACAGGGAAGGGCTTCGGTTTCTATGTGAACCTGGTGCATGGCAGGGGATGGGGTACCCAGGTTCTGGCACTCTGCTTTCTGGTCTTTGTGTGTTTGAAGAGACCTCTGCTGGGTACAGGGTGCTTCACCCATTCAAAATTGTCTAGGGTGCCTGTGTCTACCCATGACTGGGTCCCTACTCTTTGCCTTTCTCAGGGAGAGAGGCACCAGTCTGCTGCTTCATGGTGGCCATCTTGCAGGAATCCGTTTTCTGACTTCTGAGGTATTCCAGCATCCTCCCTACAGATCTCCCAGTACCTGCAGGTCATAGGGAGACAGAATATGTGGCAGAGTCACCTGAATTTTCTGAAGAGTAGGAGGTAAAACAGTGGAGGCAAGACTAGCTCAGTGCAAGACTGCAAGAGACAAAGGCGATAATTTATCTTTTAACATGTGATTAAAATAACATGTAATTAGAACTTCAATTCTAGTAGCCTAAGAATTAAAGTTTTATTAGGCCCTTGAACCTAATGAAACACATAGAACCAACTAACAAGTATTCTATTTATAATATGGACTGCAGAGGTAAGTAATATCTAAGCAAGACAATAAATGTGTAATATTTAATTACTTCTTTTTGCTCCTAGGTTTCCTTTACCTAGTCATCCTGCTGCACCTCCTGAGCATCTTAAAGAACCTTTGGTATACATGAGGAAAGCACAGGTTGGCTATTGTTCGCTTTCACTTAATTTTTCTATGCCAAGTTATGTAATGCAGAGCAAAAGATTCTTATTAATGTCAGGAGTATTTATTATGAAAGACTAGGTAAGAACCAGTCAACTGATGTTAACAGAATTTGTATACTCTTCCTTTTTATTTTCAGTAACCAAAGATAATACCTGTTTAATTATAACAATCCTGGAGAAAATTAAGCAAATGGTAAAAAAAAATCATGTACTATACTGGTCTGAAATTATGATACAAGTATTATGTGACAATCTATTCTTCATGCCCTATGGATATTAAAGGAATGAAATGTGAATCAACTGACACCCTCTTTTTTTAAAGTTTTGACCTTTGAAGCCAGTGTTATACTGTATTTGAAATATATTTGTTCTCACAGCAGGCTGTCATGTATTAATTGTATTCTGTCACAAAACTCAGATGAACCTGCTGTCAAAGTGGGTTGGCAACCAGGTTTGCCATTTTTAACTTTGGAAGGATAAAATAATTTAAACAAAAAAATCCTATATGAAACAGTTAAAATAGAAGCTCAGTACATCTTATCACATGTCTGTAACTCTTGTAACTATCCTTTGCCTCAGCAAAGCCTTGTCTACCTCCCTTCAGCACAGTCCTGTTTGAAAGCCTTCCTCATGAAGCTGGGTGGGACTCTGTGACTGCCTCTGCTGAGAAGTTTAATGAGCATCACAGTCAGAGTCAACCTGCATTCTCCAACATAGCCTCAGAAATGAATTTTTAAAACCTTTTTATTCTGAAATATTTCAAAGATATCATCCTAAAGAACTTCCATGAACCCCATTACTCAGTGTCAACATTTATCATCGTGCTTCTGCTGCTCTTGAAAATCTTCTACTGCTTGAGTTATCATATTCCACAGCAGTAGAAGTTAGGTAGATTTGCATTTTTCAACTTTTATTGTCATTTAAAAATTATTACAATTAAATGGTAAAATGGAGCAATATAAACAAAAATCATAGAGATATTTGAGGAAATACATATTTCTATTTCTAGGTAGTATCTTTTAGGACTGGAAATCAGATAATATTTATTTATTTGTCATAAAGCATAATAGTTAAATCACACATGTGTTTTTTTGTTGTGAAGATTTACACTCAAGGAAATAAAACTAAGAAGAGTGGGTCTGAATATTTTTTGGTGAAATCAAACATTTCCAAAAGGTATAGAGAAAGTATCAGTTTTAGCATTTTAGGTGTAAGAGACAAAACGCAAAAGTTGGTTTCCTATCATGGCAGAAAATAATGGGTAGGAAAGTAAATAAGTCCATTCTTAAAGCCTACTGCTAGTTGCTATGTGTGGTTGATAAGTATGTGTCTGGTACTCCTCTCTTTTCTTTCTGGACTTACTGACTTTGGAGTCTGCAAACTATAGCCTATGGGTCAAATCCAGCCTACTACCTACTTTTATAAGATTGACAAGCTAGGAATTTTTTTTTTTTGGAGTTGGAGTCTCACTCTGTTGTCCAGGCTGGAGTGCAGTGGCATGCTCACAGTCACCACAGTCTTGACCTGCTGGGCTTCCAAGTAGCTGGAACTACAGATGCACACCACCACGTCCCGCTAATTTTGTGATTTATTGTAGAGACAAGATCTCACCCAGTTGCCCAGGCTGGTCTTGAATCCCCAGGCTCAGGTAATCCTCTCGCAGCTGCCTCCCAAAGTGCTGGGATTACAGGTTGAGCCACTGTGCCTGGCTGGAAGTTTTTTTTTTTTTCACATTTTTAACTGGTTGAAAAATTAAAAGAAGACTATCTTGTGGCACATGAAAATTATATGAATTAATAAAGTATGTTTTTATTGAAAAATAGTCATGCTCATTCATTTACATGTTGTCTGTGGCTTCTTTTGCACTGCAATGACAGAGTTAAGTGGTTGCAATAGAGACCTTATAGTCTGCAAAGCCTTAAATATTTACTATCTGTCGTTCTATAGGTTTGCCAATCCCTGCACTAAATTATTCATTCTTTAAAAGCAAAGACTATACTTCTTATCTTGAACATCTAGTGTAGGACCTAGCCCACAGAATACTCTCAATAAATGTTTGTTGAACCATTTGATTCTTTAACCATGGCCATACTAATTACCTTCTCTACCAATTAGCGTCTGCCTGTCTTTCTATATTTGTCTTCCTTGAGACACCCGGTTGTTCAGCTCCCAATTCTCTTAGGCACTTTTCTCCTCCTTGCATGAAAGCTACCTATCTATATCACATGACTTCCATCTCATCATGTTCTCTCTTGCACTTCATAATCTCTTGCCCCATCAGATTTCTATTTTGACTGCCATTCTAATCCTTAGCATAGGGCTACTTCTACTGTGTACTTTTTCTCTTCTCCCAAACTCTTGACTACTTCAGAGGAAAATCACATACATTGTTATTTATGTGTTTACACAATTTAAACACATAACAATTTAAATTGTTAACACGTTTTAAACATTAGTCTAATCTAAATTTATTTATTTAACTTTCAGTGGATTCTTTTTTGCTGCCTGCAGTACTTTCATTATTCTTTATTCATTATCTGCTTTTCATTTAGGTTGTTTCAAAATGTGTCTATGCTTGTGTGGCCCCAATTCTTCATCTGTCTCACTCATTTTTCACATTTGGCACTTAAGAATATTCAGGTTATCTCATTCAAGCTTCCACAGCTTACCTCTTTTTTTGCTGCCACATCCCTTTTTGCTCCTGTGTTCAATTGTCTGCCATACATTTCTTCTGTGAGATCAAATTCAACATGTCTGAAATTATGTTCTTCCTAAAATGAGCATCTTTTCATTACCTTCTTATTTCTCTTTATGGATTTCTATCATCATTATAGTAATTTATACTTGAAATAGCTTTGATCTTGGTTTTCCATATCTAGCTAGTTACTAAATTCTATACAATATTTTTTCCTATAGTTTTATAGTGTTCTCTTTCTTTTCATTAAAAAGGTCATTACCATAACAATCATGAGACAATGATGATGATGGTGATAATTATGACTGACCTTTGAGTACTTACTTAGTTTCAGATGAAGCAAGAATGTGATTTAATTAACATCTTTATCGTATTCTTATACCTCCCAATTTTCAACTGATCTCTTTCCCTATCTCCTTATGTATTCTCAATACTATTAACTTTAATTATAAGCAAATGAACCCTAATGTATTGCACTGCCTTTTAACAAGCCTTTAGTGCCTACTAATTGCCTCACAAATCAAGTTTCTACTCCAAAGCCCAGCATTTAACAATTTTAACTGTCTGTTGCCAGCTTCCCCTTTCACTTTGACAGGCTCTACCGTCTTATAACTGTCCTATGTCCTATCCAAGTGAATCGTTTTGCCTTTCCCTCTTGCATTATTAGCACTTTTTGTATTTTGTTTTCCTGGCCTGGAAAGCCCTTTCTGTGTACTTTGCATTATGGAAATCCCATCTATTTTGTGAGGGTTAGCTCAGATGGTGTCTCTTTTCTGATGTTATTGATTACCCTGTTGAAAGGAATTTCTCCCTCTCTTGAATTCTTATAGCTCTATATAATTTTATGACCCTTATCACAAATTACATTCTGTTATAGTAATATATATATATTTCTGACTCTTGTCATTTGCCTCTTGAAAGAAGTAACAGTTTAAAAACAAGTTAATACCTGTTGTGTCTAGTACACTGACCTTTATGTAGCAGGAGTTTAGGAAGTTTTTGTTAAATTAGTAGTAAGAGTTTACCATTTCTTTTACAATTATTACAATGTTTATTTAAAAATATTTACTGAATGCTACTGAGGAGAAGACACTATGCTGTGAAGATTTAGTAATAAATGAGATATAGATTCCACCTTCAGGTAACTGCATCTTTGAAATAAGACTTGGACACAGGTAGCTGTATCTCAAGGTAGAAAGTGCTATATGATTAAAGGGAGGTGGCTAGGAAGTTTTGTAGGAGCACTGGGAAGCATTAGGGCAGGTGGTTTCTTGTTGGGTTGTTCTTTGATCGTACAATCAATGAGAACTTTAAAAATCCAGTTAATGTTTCTTTACCCCATTTTATTCAGTAAAATGTGAGCAGAAAATATTTTGAAATTGTACTCTGAGAAGTTTGACTCATTTTTTTTCTATGAAAGTTTTATGAGTTATTTTAACATCACTTAACTCTTGATCATGTCTTCAGATTTGGGTAGTAAACTAGCTCTCTGCAGTTTTTGGCAGGCTAGACTGGTACTTAATTTTGGGGGCTAATGAGGTTATGAGGCTCTTCTGTATCAACTTTGTCCAGAGTGTTTCTACTGAATACTACCCATGTGAGAACTCCACAGAAAGAGTTCCATGGACAAATAAGTTTGGGAATTGAGATAGACTGCTTTTATCTTGATGATTCATAATTTATCTTACTATTTTTATGGAAACGATTTTTCAGAAGAGTTTTTTTTTGTTTGTTTTTTTGTTTTTTGTTTTTGTTTTCTTTTGAGTTGGAGTCTCACTCTGTCACCCAGACTGGAGTGCAATGGCCGCTCCCGGCCACCGCAGCCTCAACCTGCTGGGCTCCGGCGATCCTTCCACTTCAGCCTTCCAAGTAGCTGGAATTACAGGCATGCACTACCACGCCCGGCTGATTTTTTGATTTATTGTAGAGATGAGGTCTCGCTGCCCAGGCGGGTCTCGAACCCGCGGGCTCAGGCAATTCACTCACCTCAGCCTCCCAAAGGCGCGGGATTACGGGCTGATCCACCAAGCCCGGCTTTCAGAAGAGTTTTAAGAGTGAGTACAAAGAGTTCTCATAGGTCCTATACCCATTTTCTTCTATTATTAACATCCTATATTAGTCTGATATTTTGGTTACAATTAATGAGTCAGTGTTGACTGATACATTATTATTAACTAAAGTCCATACTTTATCCAGATTTCCTTAGTTTTAACCTAATGTCCTTTTTTCTGTTATAGGATCCCATCCAGGATACCACATTACATTTAGTTATCACGTCTCCT